AAACTATGACACAGCCTATTTCTTTCTCGAATTAGTTACTTAATACTAAAAACAAGGGCACCTGGGAAGATGCTCACTAGGCAAGCATTGCTATGCTTGATGTTAGTGTCTGATATAATATTTATTCTGCATTCTCATTGGTAAAATAAAGATATTATTTTATAATTAAAATGGATATGAATTTTACTAGAAATACCATCTATACATAACTTAGGACAGAGGCTGGGCTACAATAAATGATAAATATATTTGTTGTTATTGCTTACAAGTCAAAAACTGATTTCAAGTTTTCTAATGCTGTTTGTACTCTTTACTCCTCCTACTATACAGGAATAAACTCCAGTTCATCCCTTAATGTGATAATGACTATGATCTTGGCAGATGCTGCCATTTACCTTTGAAAGACTGGTATCATCTGAGAGTCTCAGGGACTAAGGGAGTCAGTGGGAGACAGTGAGAAGGGTGAATACTGAGGAATAGGTCTCAGTGTACACCTAGTGAGAAAAACTAGGGCTGAGGAACAGACTGAGGGATAAGGCTGAGAAAAGGAGGTGTAATAAAGGTCAGATGGGAGAGAGATGAGAGAGGAAATGGTTCTAACAGGTAATATTGGGTGCGTCGTCATTTAAGAAGTGAAGGGGTGCAGCTGAAGACAGTGAGAAAGTAGAACAATGGAGCAGATGGTAAAAGCTAGTGAAAACATGTCGAAGAATAGAAAAGAGTCCCCTGGTGTTAGCAGGAAAGGGGGTCGTATAACTTAGATGAAACTGAGATGTAAGGCAGAGAGGAAAGGGATGAAGAGCCTGAAGAATGGGCAGCTATGGGTCAGAGGAGAGAAACTGAGGCCAGAAATGCTTACAGAGAGAACTGAGAAGGGAGGAAGGGAATTGAGGATCAGTAAAGAGAAAATTCAGGGTAAACACTTTGAGTGGAAGCTTAGAAACCAAGAGTAGAGGAGGGAGGCAGGAAGAGAAACAGAGAGAGAGGTGAAAGGGCAGAGTGGGAGCCTCAATGACAGAGAGGGAGAAGAGGCTTGAGGAGAAGAGAAAGACTCCAAAGATGCAATAGAAGAGAGAGGGCTGGGCTGCAGAGAGAGAAGGGAATGGGAGATGTGTGCAGACACTACTGAGGGACCAACCGGGAAAACCCATGTGCAATAGGAGAGTGAGGTACCAAGGAGCCTAAAGGGTTCATATCTAGTGGAAGAGGCCAGAGAATCCCCCACAGCCCACTGTTCAGCCTTCTCATCTCACGTCCACTGCGCAGTGAAGCCTCTATCTATTGCAGTCATCATCCTCAATATCCATGGGAGACTGGGTCCAGGAACACTTACTATGGATACCACAATCCACAGGTGTTCATGTCCCTTATTCAGCCCCCTAGGGGCAGTGCTGTGTGTAGACCATATGCGGCCCTGTCTAGGCAGTTTCATTAGGTAGTGCAGTGTGGTTAAAAGCAGTGCCTCCGGGATCAGAGCTGTATTACAATAACTTCAATAGCTCTTCACTCTATGATTGTGCACATTGTTTGATTAATCTCAATTTCCTCATCTGAAAAATGGAGACAATCCCACCTACTCTGTAGATTAGAGAGCCATTCATATGCAATTTTAAATGTGGTGCAAGCAGTTAAAAGCAAATACTCAATAGGCACATTTCAGTATTTGTACTTTCCAACATGACAGTGAGCAGTGTTGCAGTGATCTATAAGAGAAAGTTGGAAAAGGATCTGACAACAATGAAGAGTAAGACACTTGGAGTGGGAAGCCCTGAGCTCTTGAACAGTTTTTGGACAAGCCTTCCATATGGCTTTGGTGAAGTTACTGAATCCTATATCTTAGCTCTTTTCTATGATGAAAGATTTTCACATGGGGCCCGCCTTCTTTTGAGATAAGTTATTAGGTTTGATGGTGCTGTGAAGGAAAACACTCTTTAATGTTCGAAGCCTCATCAATTGGGGAAATTGTTGAGATTATCTTTCCTTGCCTGCCATAATCCTGTATCATTCACTACAAGGCATAGCCTAGTAACACGTCCAGGTCTGTCTTCCTCATCAAAAACATCATGGGAGATAGGACAGTACAGCTGCCCTATTCCATAACCCTACATATAGTCCTGCTAGATAAGATGTATCAGAGAGGTCACTGCAATGACTTCCTTTATCCACAAAACAAAGGACCTTCAACTTACTGGTCCCTTCTCTGTAGCTTCTTTTCCCTGCAGCCCTTTCCCTCCTGTGTTAGCCTCTTGTGGTTAACTCAGGATGCTGTTCTACATGAGCCGCACTGGCACTTACAAAGCTGTCTCTCTCCCTTGGGTCTTGTCCCTCAAAGGAATTTCCCTAGATGGATGCAGACCTGATGAATGCCAAAGAGGGATTAGCAACCCTATGTTCTCAGAACATAGCCTCTGAGATGCCTAGTTATCTTACATGGAAAATCAATGACCCACGAGCATGCTTAGGCAGTACTTCAGTGAGCCAGATGGTCCTTCGCTCTCTTTTCTCCCCAGCCGCCAACTTTGCATGAAAATTTATTGGGTGGTTCTCAGTCCTTTTTTCTGTCTTTCTTTTCTTTTCCCAACCAAAAATCCCTTGAGACTCTTCTTCCAACCTAGTAGATTCACTGTCATTTATTAGGCAAATATGTAAAGATCACAAGTTTTGGGTTAGATAGTTGAATGCAAGCATTAATAAGACACAATCTTTGTCTTTGAGAAAATCATTGTCTTCTCCAAGAGGTTTATGTGAGAAAAAACATCTCTCCCAGAGGGAGCAAAAACAGGCTTCCCAGGTGATACAAATATTTAGCAAGGTTTCCTTACATTGGCTTCACTACCATTCAAAATAGGGAACATTTTATACAGAGGGGGAAGCATGTACAAAAGCTCAGAATTGTCGCAAAGCGAGACATAAAATTACATAAACATCAATTACATGCGCATTTGTGTCTTACAAATACAGTGTCAATTTCGAAGGCTTAGAGAGGCTTGAGTATATTAAGTAATGGAATAATTGTAAAGATTTCTGCCTTCAGGAATATAGGCCTGTGCAGAGGAATGGACCAGATCATTTACAGCAGATACTGTCATTAGCATGAATATATACAATTTTGGCTGATTTTATCTGGTTTTTTTGTTTGTTTGTTTGTTTGTTGTTGTTGAAGTAGTAGAGTATAGTTAAAACTACAAGCACCACAGAGGGAGAGAACTGTCAAACTTGGTATAATATTGGGCAAGATATTTTGTTTCAGAGACTCAGTGTACTTATCTGTAAAATGGGTAATCTTGTAGTGACTTATAGTCACTTTATGTTGACAATAGCCTTATGAGACAATAACAATATAAGCCCTTAAAATAATACCTAGGTTATAATGTGCTTTAAAAACTATTATGTGCAAAATAGAAGGTATTCAGTACTTTCTACCGAGTTTTTCTGTGAACCTAGAACTCTTAAATTAAGTCAAGTCTACTAAAAAGTATTTAGTACAATAATTTTATGTTACTGTTTTCTGTTGCTTTCTGTTCTTGATACTAAATGGAAAAATAGATAATTATTCTAGGAAAGGGAACAAGAAAGTTAGGGAGATGCCAAGTGATTGGACTTTCTTCTGTAGAACATGGAAAACATGGCGTGCTCTGAAATGAGTGACCCTGTTTGGGGAGGAGGTCCAACATAATGGTTTAAGAAAATCAGACATGCTTGATACCGAATTTCAGTTCTGGCTTATGTTAGAAATTTAACTAAGGAGAGTTCCTTTCCTCTGTGAACCTCAGTTTCCTGATTTTGAAACATTGAAAATGATAATACCTCCCTACTTCACAGGTTTGGTGAGAAAATTAAACGAAATAACGAAAATAAAAAATACTCAGTGCTGTCTACCATGAGTTAAATGTTTAATAAATATTAGCATTTATCATCATCATAATTACCAGCTTCATTGTCATCTTCAGCATAATCATATATAACCTTTTATAGTCATTGTAAATTGCTCTTTTTGGATTATAAAGCTGAAATATCTTCTTTAAAAAATTTGTATAAGGCAAAGATGGAGAAATACATATAGAAAATAAGATTATATATAACAGCTGTTTTCCTCTTGACACAAATATTTATAGCCTTTTACAGAGTGATTATTTTGTACATAATATTGCTTATCATTTTTCATTTAATATTTTGCTAACACAGCTTCCTAAGCATTTAGATGTCATTTTATAAAAAATAGTTTATCGAATGAATATGTTTTGATTTATGTAACATTTTTGTCCTAGACATTTTGTGTGCTTACATTCTTCAAATTATGAACAATAACACAATTAAATTATAATATATACGTATTAAATAGTTCAACACATATTTATTGATCACTGACCTAGGAGCTGGATTTAGAACCGTGAGCAAACAGGAAAAAACTTTTGCCACAAGTAGCTGGGATTACAGCATGAGCCACCACATCTGGCCGTATGACAATTTTAACCTGGAGAGGGATAGGTGGAGGATCTAGGGGGCATGAGTAAAGTAGAACTGGGAAAGTTAAGAAGACACCACCTCGATGGATGCCAGCAGAAAGGCATCTTCTTGGGCTTCTCAATGTGAAGAGAAGTTACTCAAGACAAGAAGAGAACTTCTGTTAGCTCTGGATCCCACTTTATGTATCCGTATGTCCACCAATACATTTAGTATTTGTTTATTGAGTATATAGTGTGGGCCAGGAATCATATTTATATAGGTTTACTGGTGAGCAAGACATGCATAATTCCTCCAAGGATCTTGATTTAATCTTTCTAATGGACACATGCACACACCTTCGTAAACAGGACATTACTGTGTGACAAATGTTATAACAGGAAATTCAGGGCAATGTGGAAGCAAACAGATGGAGCATTTGGTGCACCACTATTGGAAAGGGAGGAGCTACCTGTGAAAATGTCCTTGAGGAAGCAACCTCAAAGCTGAGACTCCCACACAGATTGCATTTAGTCACTTGTAGGGACAGGCTGATCAGCCAACATAAAGTTTATTTCCTCCTGAGCAATGAGATTGTGACTTCCACATGTTTGTGAGAGTTTCCTTGGCTGAAGCTTTCTCATGTTACAGGTCATTGTTCAATATTACACAACGAAAGCACTTACAAGTAAATGCTGATCTTAGCTTAATGTTGGAACTGAGGTTGTAAGGTAAAATCGGAGATGAGAGGAGTCAAGGATAGGGTCAAAGGCTTCTTCTAGAGGAACACCGTCAGAAGAGAGCACACCTCAGAAAGCTGCGGTGAGGGGTGTTGCTTGAACCAGGTATGGGGAAGAATGCAGGAGTTCTGAGGTTTCTGATGTGACTTGGGGGTCTGAAATTTACTGCTGACCAGGATAGAAAAAAAGAGAAGTAACTTGACAAGGTAGAGAAGACGGAAGCAGTCCTAAGGAGCCATGGCAAGAGGTGTATTTCCAGAGGTGAGTTAGAGCAAATGGCATTTACCTGGTCTCTGCCAGCCACTGTCCTGGGTGCTCTGTTATTTATTGCCCTTTTTAGTTTTTATTTAGTTTCATTTTAAAGTTTTAGTTACACTGATGATGACCTTCAATAAAGCAACCACCTGGGCAGCTTTATTCATTACATTCAATTTATTATATTGATGATGACCTTCAATAAAGCTGCCTTCTGGGCAGTTTTGATGCTACCAAAAATGCCAGTTCTCAGATGTAGGAGAAAACATTATAATTTAAGCAAGAGAGGTCAGTTTTTATAAAAAACTCACGACTCACAAAATAAATTTGCCCATACTTTATTTAGGAAAGGGGCAAAAAATCTTTGAGATCATGGGGTATTATAATAGGTACTCAATACTCCAAAATTTCAGTCCAATTTGAGGCCTTCTTATAGGCACCTAGGGGCAGTTTTAGCCCTAGAACTCAGAACTGACCTTTATAAGACCTAGGAATTTGATAATGGCACGGCGAATCTCCTTGGTCTTAATACTGTATATGATTGGGTTAAGCATGGGAGGCACAAAAAGGTAGACATTAGCCATAAGAAGATGAATAGCAGGTGGGGCATGCTTCCCAAAACGGTGAACCAGGGACAGCCCCACCATGGGCACAAAGAATACTAGCACAGCACAGAGATGAGCCGTGCATGTCTGAAAGGCACGGCGCTGCTCCTCTGGGGAGGCCAGGGCTGCTACCGTGTGCAGGATGAACCCATAGGACAGTGCGATGAGCACCAGGTCCAGCATCACAGTGAAAACTACCACCATCAGTCCATACAGATTATTGAAAGTGGTATCTGTACAGGCCAGCTGTATCACTTCCTGGTGCAGGCAAAATGAGTGGAAGAGAACCACAGATCCACAGTAGGGAAAAGCCTTCAGGAGGAGCACAATAGGGATAGTGGCCACAGGTCCCCGGAAGATGACAATTAGGCCTGCCCTGACCATTCGTTGGCCAGTGACAATGACCGAATACCTCAGAGGGTGGCAGATAGCCACAAAGCGGTCAAAGGACATAATGAGGAGCACTGAGGACTCCATGAAGGAAAATGAATGGATGCAGAACATCTGGATTTGGCACGCTCCAAAGTAGATACTGTGGGAGTTAAACCAGAAGATCCCCATAGTGGTGGGCAAGGTGGACACAGACAGCCCCAGGTCGGTGAGGGCCAGCAAGGATAGTAGGTAGTACATGGGTGTGTGCAGACGAGGGTTGGTCTTAATAATGATCAGAATGAAACAGTTGCCTGAGATGGCCACCATGTACATAAAGAAAAAGGGTATGAAAATCCAGTGTTTGATGGCTTCCAGTCCAGGAAAGCTGGAGAGATAGAACATGGGGCTAAACTGAGTGATGTTGGATAATAGCATGAATTGAGGACTGAAGGAATACTGGGCTGACATCCTAGGGGATTGAGCTGAAAATAAATGGGTATTTCTCGTTATTAATTATTCAGCTTCACTAACATTCACAACATCACAAACAATTACATGGTCATCATCACCTTTAGTATTACTCCACCCTTATCAATTCCACCACTCTCACTATTTTGCTGAACTTTCTTTGATAACATTGCCCTCACCAGTTTCCCTCTGTATCTCTACTATTTCTGTTCCTCTCAGCCTTTTGCTGGTGTGTCTTTATTGTTCCATAAGTATAGTTCTTCTCATCCTTGGCAATTTTCTGGTCATATTCTATTATTTCTCCTTAGATAATGTCATCCACTTTCATGATTTCATTTACCATCCATATATTGATAAATATCAAATATATAATTCCAGAACTTGTCTTCCTCTCTTTTGATTTCCAGACTCATATATCTAGCAACATCTGTACTTTTCATTATCTCGGTGGTCCAAGTCAAATATCATGTTTTATGATGGACTTCTCCATATCACATCTCTCCTTGGTATCTAATCAACCAATCGCCAAGTCCTGGGGTTTCTGTTTACTGAATACCTAAAGTCTGTTTACTCATCATCATCTTCCCTGACACTGTTCTAATTCAGATCACTCTTTCTGGACTATTCCAGTGAATTCTCTTTTGTACTACTCTATTCAATTGACTACTATATAGCAGGAGAGATATATACATAGACAAGTTTTATATGAAGTAAAAAACATTTAAAATGACATTCAAGACCCTACCTTAGTTTCTCTCTGCATATATCCTATTTTTTATCTATGCTAATTTTCTCTGTTATATTCACAGTGTTGATAACACTAAACAATTCTTCCTGTTATATTCAGGAAGAATATTAATAATTCTTCCTGTGAATTTTCTCTGCTACATTCAGTGTCAATAAAATAAAACAATTCTTCCGGTTTACCTAGTATTCTTGCTTACGTGTAAACATTTGTATTTTCATTCTTCCTGGAATAAAAACAACTTTTCCCGAGATAGCTTTCCCTTAATCTTTGCCTAGTTAACTTCTACTAATATATCCCACCTCAGCTAGGTTATACCCTTCAGAAGGTTTTCTTAAATTCTTCAAGTTTAGTTTGGATGCCTCCTCTCCTATGTGTTCCTATAGCTCACTATGCATTAATTACCATGATACTTTCCTTGCAGCATTGTCAGTTTCTGTATTGCGTCTATAATGTTAATTTCTTGTGGACATAAACCACGACTGTCTGTTTAAATTTTAGTTTTAGCTCTAGGTATTGGCTTTTTGAGCCACCATGTCATTGGGACTCTTTAAATATTATTTGAGTAAATTATTTGATATGTAGCATTACCATTAATGTTATTTCAGTAATTATTTATTAACTAATTCAATAAGTACATATTGAAATTTTATTACATGGCAGACATGATTCTATTAGGTTGGTGCAAAAATAATTGCGGTTTTAACCATTGCAATTGCAAAAACCACAATTACTTTTGCACCTAGGTACTGAAACTACAATAAACAGAAACAAAACAGAGAAAAAAGTAAACACACACACACACATATATATATATACTACATTTTATATAAGTAGAGAAGAAAAATGGAGTAAAGGAGGAAGGTGGAGCGATGCATTTTATATACAGGAGTCAGAGAAGACCTCTCTGAGGAGGTAATTTTAGAGAAGAAATCAAAGTCAGAAGGCAAGTGTATGGCTATCTTAGAGAAAAACATTCAAGGAAGGAGGAGGAACAAGTGAAAGTTCCTGAAGCAGAGAGCAGCTTGACAAGTTTAAAAGACAAAAAAGGCCATTGTCTATTCAGTGGAGGAAGCGAGGTGGGGAGACCCTTGTCTCCCTGTGAGTGGCCCTGGTAGACCCTAACAGCCTGTAACATTATCTTTCACCAGGCCCTTGCTTTGGCACCTTTCCACTCCCACCTTTTCCCAGTCAACACGCCCATATCATTTTTTCTTCAAGTCCCCACACATACTTTTCTTGTTTTTATTCTTCTGTATTTATTGCTTTCTTGGCAAAACCATTTCTGTTTTTCCAACCAGTAAATGCTTGCTGATCCTTTAAGACTTAGTACAAATATCACTTGTTCTGACAAATGTCTCCTGACTTCCTTTTGTAGCATTAGGCAAATCTCTCTCTGTTCTCACATAGTACCTGTAATGTAGTCTTAAGGTGTAAACACACACACATTCTTTATATTTTTATATCTATATTTATATACTTATTGATATATATATATATACTTGTATTTAGAATATACTTATATAAGTACAAATACGTATAAGTTTAAATAATATATAAGTGCATAGATTTACTCATATATTTTATAGAATATACATTTCAGTATATACATTATATATTTATAAAATATACTTTATATTTTTATATATGAGTATAGAGTATACATATGTATCTCCATATTTAAATATGTAAACATATAAATATAGAAAATATTTATTGTTATGTATTTGTACACATATTTATACTTACATTTGTACAACATATACTATATATATATTATAAGTGATATTTATATATATTATTTATTATATGTGTTTAGAACATAAACTTTTATTGGGAAAAACTACCATTAATATTGCAGCAACGTCATAATTTCCTTTTTTTTTGAGCTGACTAGACTGAAATTTTCTAAAGACCCCTGGAGTCCGACAGTGTCTAAGATGTTGTAGATACCACTATATATTTTTCCACATGAAAAACTAAATGGGTGAATAAATAAAGTACTCACCTCTTGTCCTGATTCTTTGTGCCTGGGGTTCTGTTGTCAGCTCTGTGTTCACCAACTTCGGAGTGATGAGATGGACAGGGAGAGGGATCTGGTGGGAGTGAGATGTTTATACAGAGGCAATGACAGGGCTGGGGATTATTTCTCTTGGAGAGGATACTTGCTCTTGAGAAGGAAGCGTTAGGGGGTTTCTCCTAGCAAGGGACACAATTGTCCATGGTAGGAGAGCAACAGTACCTTTTTCATGTCTACTAAGCAACAGAGGAGTCCACTCAAAACAATCAGTTACGTCTAATTACAACAAACTTATAATATTCAAGACAGAGTAGATTCAGCTTAGATCACAGGAGAAAATCCCCCAAAAGGGAGATTTTCAGTATACAATGAGTAATTGGCTCCCTACCTTACCTATGTCTAAATATTCTTTTTGTGAATTTCGTTAGTTATTTTTTAAAATGAACTATACTGGTGGAGGACACTGTTTTTTGTAAATAGGAGAATATGCAAAAGAAGCTGCACCTAAACACAAGGACTCGAACCAGATTATTCATTTTCAGCCCCCTAGAGGACATTTCCACAATAGTCAAACTCATCTGTAAGCATGCCTGTTTTGAGTACTTTAAAGGAGGACTTTGGAAGGGGAAGGTCATATCCTGGACACTGGGGAAGTTACGAGGTGATGTTCGGATTAATATAAGCAGATTGAAGATGGGATCTTTTCTATGTTCACTGGACCAGCACACAAAATGCATTTAATAATTTGTTAAATAAGTGAATGACTGTTTTGCTGATGAGAGAAAGGAGATGGTGT